ACGCTCTGCAGAGGCTGGTACAGAAGCACGGTCCTCGTAACTGGTCCCTGATCAGCAAGTCGATACCCGGTCGGTCCGGCAAGTCGTGCCGGCTCCGGTGGTGCAACCAGCTCTCCCCTCAGGTGGAGCACCGTGCCTTCACGCCAGAGGAAGACGACACCATAATTCGGGCCCACGCCCGCTTCGGCAACAAGTGGGCCACCATCGCCCGCCTCCTCAACGGCCGAACCGACAACGCCATCAAGAACCACTGGAACTCCACGCTCAAGCGTAAGTGCTCCGATATCGGCGTCGTTTTTCCCGGAGGAGGTGTAGGCGGAAGCGGAGGCTACGATGGTCATTTCCTTCATGACCACGAGCAGCCGCCGCTAAAGCGATCGGTGAGTGCCGGGTCGGGCATGCCCGTTTCCACCGGGCTTTACATGAGCCCGGGTAGCCCGTCCGGTTCAGATATGAGCGACTCCAGCGTAGTACCGGTTATGTCTCTGTCCGAGTGCCACGTGTACAGACCCGTGGCGCGATCTGGAGGGGTTCTGCCGCTCGCGGAAACGACGTCGTCTTCCAACGACAACAATAGTAACAACGTAAAACAGAAAGAGAACGATCCTACGACTTCGCTGTCTCTGTCGCTGCCCGGGGTTGACTCGGGCGAGGTGTCGAACCGGGTGGCGGCAATCGAGTTGACTCAGGCGCCGGTTCCGGTTCCGGTTCCGATTCCGATTCAGAATCCGGTTCCAGATCCGGCTCCGGCTCGGGCTCCGTTTCAGAATATACCGGTGGAGTTGTTGGCGGTGATGCAGGGGATGATAAGGAAGGAGGTGAGGAGCTACATGGCGGGGTTGGAGCAGAGTGGGATTTGTATGCAGCAGGCTGCTAATAACGATGGGTTTAGGAATGTTGCTGTAAAGCGAATTGGGGTTAGCAGGATCGAGTGAGAAAATTGACGAGAAGTTGGGGAGTTTTTGGGAAATTCAATTTCAGTGAAGGAATGAATGAATGAAGCTCAATGCAAAAGCTAAGGGCTTTTTGGACGGAGTAGTTGGACTAGTTAGTGAAAAAATGATGATGAAAAGATATGGTGGAAGTTGAAGCTGGGAAGTGAAAAATAACTGGGCTTGTGTTGGTTTTTTTTTTCCTTTTGCTTTCTTTCGGTTTAATTATTAGGGGAAATAATAATTATGGTCAATGTACAGAGAGAGAGAGAGAGAGAGAGAGACAGAGGGAGGGACAGTAATGAGAGAGACTGAGATGAGGAAGAAGAGATGGTGTTGGAGAAGAGAGAGGTCTGAAAGTGGGCATCCAATCCAAGAGGGAAGGGAACTTTTGGGCCTTGTTCATCGAAAAACAACATGCAACTTAATTAAAAAAAAAAAAGAGAAAGAAAAATGAATCCTCCAAATTTCAATCTTTTTTCTCGTCGTCTTTATATATTGGGTTTATTTTTTCCTGCTTATGTTATATAATCTGAAATAAGTAAAAAGGAAAAAGGGTTCTGACTGAGTTCTGAGCCACCTGTTTAAAGATCTAAACTAAAAAGCAATAAGACCCAAAAACCACCAAACCGAAACAGTCTGCCACGCAAAAGAAGTTCTATCCGGTAAGTCCGTACAAAATGTAGAGGCCATTTCAGTAATCCTGAACCACGATTCTTCAGACTGAAAAAATAGAGGGGGGTCTTTGTGTGACAGCTAATGGCCTAGTACCTACCCTATAATACAACAGAAGAGGTGCGCGACCAGTCTAAGCAAAATAAGAGAAAAAAAGTGTAGTCTTTTTATCGTTTTTCAGTTTTGGTGGGGAGAACGATTCACTACGCGTTTGCTTCTTGGGTAAGGAAAAATCTCTCTTTTCAAATTAATGTCTCGGGTGGTACAAAAATTTGTGGCTTGTATTTTTATTTTTCAATTCCCCCAGGGTCTCGGGTGTAGGATTAAATTCTCTTTTAACCACTTGAGATATAATTCCCTTTTTGAAACGTTTATGTTTTGTTGGAAAGTTGGTAGGTAAAGAAGCACTTGCAGTTAAAAACGAGAAATTAACATGCAAGTTTCGTTATCCTGTTATGTTGTTGAACCATGTCAGCAAAAGGCGACAGCTCCATGCACTGAGTTGTAAGTTTGGATTAGGTAACTATAAAAAAGGTTGTTTGGAGAGCAATACATGGGAACATGTCAAACATGACTATCTATCTCAGCCGTCGCCAAGTCTTCTACGCAACTTACCATAACCTGTAAAATTCTCTACAAACTTTAAGATGATCTATCTTCATATTTTGGTCAATGAATTTCTCTCCAAGTCTCTTCTTTTTTCCTTTTCTCTGAATGACTGTTTTATTGCTTTCTGGGGTTTAAATTAAACATACAAATTGAATGTCCGAAGCTTTACAGACGAAATTGTAATGATCTGTCGACAAATTAGGCAATTCGAAAGGACACCAAGACTAATTACAGGTTAAATATCGGACTCTTGACAAGATAATATTTACTTACAAGAGATTATGATTGTTCTCCTGTTAATACATAAAATGTATTTGGATTAGCTTGCCCTTGCCCTTGTCCTTTGCTATATACCAACTTGCTAAAAGAATTATAAGGGGTGACAGTGGTGAAGTTGCTCAACTGCAGGTTGGACAGTGTTTGAGCTGGTATTGAGTTTCTTCGGTAATACGAGTCTAGATTTCAGTTCGCAAACCAAATGCCACAAATCCTGTCTCCAGGACCATGTTGGGTGGTTTAGAGCACGGATAGAATTGAGGCAAACAACAAGGGTACCGCCTTCATGTAACAGAACCTACATGTCACCAAAGAAGAGCAATCATGAAACTGGAAGCTAAAGTTAGAGAGCAGCCAAGAGTTCAGATAGGAAAAAGTCTACAACTTTCAATCACATGCTAATGCACAGACATGTCTTATAATATGCCACTGCTTGCAATGCTGTACATGGAAAAAGAAGTGGCAATAAGGTATCAGAGAATGAACTATTAAATCGATTTATACCGTTAACCAGAGGGGAAGAAATCCTAAAACAGATGGAAGAGAGGCCAAAACTATACAAGATAAAGCAAGCCCTACACTCTGCTTCACCTGCATGTACATAAAGGAAATAACGTCAGGAACAGAAAATAACCAACACATGATGGGATAAATGTTATAGCATGTACCAGGGAAGTTGTTTGGCGAGACTTGGCGATACAGAATGGTACAACCGATATATTGTCCCGCAGCAACAATACATCTGCAACAGCTGTGGCAGTTGCACTAGCACGTTGGGCAAGCACTATCCCCACAGTGGCTGCTGCAAGTGCTGGAGCATCATTAATACCTTCACCCACCATTATCAGACCTCCACCTGTAGTAAAACCCCTGAATCTTTTGAGCTACAAAACTTCCGATAAAGATGTGAAGAAAAGAACTTAGTTTCCATCTTCACCTTTTTTTTCCTTACAAAACATTCGTATGACTTTATTTTTGCATAGTTGAAATGAAAATGGGAAAAGGTTCATGGCTGGAGAAACAAGAAGAAAAGACATTCTCTGTGAAAATACATCATGCAAATGTGATTTTTCTTATTGATTCTCAGAGTAATAATAGTTAAAAAGCATGCAGGACATGCATATATTGATGACTGCATACAAATGTCAGAACTTGCATAACGGCTAGTGTATGCATGAAAAATGTCAAATCCTTGTTTTAACAAATGACGATCTGTTAGGAATTTATTAGAAACAAAGCAATAGAAATCATGGAAGAGAATTTTTCAACTAGACTATGTACTAGGAATGAATTGAAACAAAGTGGAAGGGATAAACAAATTCCTCTGCATTTTCGTTCTGCTAACTCAAATGATAAAGATTGTAAAAATCTAGTCATTAACTACGCTATTGCTAAACCTCCGAGAGACTTAAAAGAATGGCAAGGATTGTGTAAATCATTTCAATTGGCATGTATAAGGATTGACAATTGCAAAACTCACCCATATCCCTTGAGACATCCTTAACATGACTCAGCTTATCCTCAGGCTTCAGGCTAGAATAAACTTCATTGATACCTACAGCATTTGCAACTCTCCATGCACTTGACTCATGGTCACCAGTCAACATCATTACACGGAGCTTGGCTTCATCTCGCAACTCTTTTATGACATCCAAGACCCCAGGTCGAGGCCTGTCCTCAAGGTGAATCAGCGTTACCTGCATAGACTCGTGATAATTTAGTGATCCATCAGCTTGCATCCCTAGAAAAGGCTAAAAAAAAACCCTAACATAGGAATATGGGTGCTCAATTGATAAACAAACAAAATTTCATAAAGTGTCTATCCTGTTTAGCTTGTCAACATATGCTCCTATTATGTATAGTTATCAATTTTGAACACCAGTGCACAAGTAAAACCTTTTTGATGAAACCTCACCTTTTCGTTGACTGAAAGAGCAGCACGAACAAATTCAGTTCCATAAGAAGATGCATTCACAGCTTCCTTGATCTTTTTTGATGCATCCTCTGATCTACAAAGTGAGGTGATGAAATCTACTGAACCAAGAGATGCTTTCAACAGTTTATCCCCTCCAGTTCCTAACTATAACAAGATACAAATCAATGTGCATCAAATTACCTGTTACTGACCAAAAGCACTCAAAAAAGGTAGGTTGGAAGACAACTAATGCCTGTAAGATCTTATTCATTACAATGGATGAACTTCCAAAAGAATTTAGCTAATGTAAGCATAAATTAGTGGTGATATGCAATCAGAGGAATAAATAACCATGCACTGTGTAGTATGTCTAACAGAGTACTGCTGGGACATGGTACGTGCCAGATAGAAATCTTTATAGATTAAAAAATGGCTAAGACATGACAAAATCGCAGCAAATATAGCCTACAGAACAGAAGGGGTCATATTGGAGCAGAAAAATGAGTAAAGCATTGCATTATTAAAGCTGAAATGTATATAACAAAAGATATATGCTAGTTAGAACACAATTTACCTCTATGCCATTGAGAGTAGCAATTAGACCTCTGCCTGGAAAGTACTCGAAACTCTCAACAGAAACAGAAGGAAGGTCTTTCCCTTCACTATGGTCTACCACAGCTCTGACACAAGAAAAGAAAGATATATAAGTACTGATAACATCAAGTTGAACATGTTTCATACGTTAAATAGTGTATATGATTCAAATAAACCCCATTAATAGACTAGAGGAAATTAAAACAAATATTTTTCTGCAAGGGGTAGAATTGTACAATACTCTTTTTGAGCAGGAAACAAAGTAGATGAATCCATGTTGAATCAGAAAGGATATTTACAGTTTACAATCACAGGGTAGAGTAAGTTGAAGATTCAACAGACAAAATAACGGGGTTCTGTCAGAGAACACTACCTTCCAATAGGGTGAGTGGTGCCCTTCTCCATTGCAGCAGCAACAGCAAGGGCCTCCTTTTCACAGCTGGGGACACAACAGGAAGAAAAATCTGATATATTGGTTCTCATCCGGTGCCCGTAAATTGGTTCAATTGCTTTGAACGCTAGCCCCCCAGTTGTCAAGGTCCCAGTTTTATCAAATGCAATTGTGTGACAAGAAGCTAGAGCATCTAGCACATGGCCACCTTTCAGCAATATCCCCTGTATGGAAAATGGAAGGTAATGTGTCAATCCCCAATCGCATTAACAGAACTTTCTGCTAATACCCAATGGAATTTTACTGCAGAGTTTACCACTGCAAAACATAAATGCATGTAAAACAAGCAAATATCATGACGTCTACCTTCTTTGCGCAGGAGCTAATTGCAGTAGCATATGCCAACGGAGCTACAGCCAAAGCACATGGTGATGCTGCCACCATGAGGCCCAATGCTCTATAAACTGACCCTCTGCAAGCTAAAGTATTAAGCAGACATCAACCAAATGGATGACAAGCATGTCCCCAAAAAAAACAAAGGATAAATAATAGGGGAAAAAAGCTGTAGACCACCCAACACCTGGAGTTAGGTAAAATTTTTAACACAATAGTTTTGAACAGTTCTTTCAACCTATTATGAATGCATCTAGTGCAAAGCAGCTCTTCAGCTAGTTCTTTTAGTGGCAGACAAAAAGTAGTTCTTTTAGATTTTGATATTCCAAACCGGTAGTGAAAAAAAGGAAAAATCGGTAGTGGCAAGAGTGCTTCAGAGTGAAAGTGCTTAGTGCAGATTACCTGATGTACCAATAAATGGCCACTTGAATAGGAATGGACCAAGAAGAGCAATAGCAGCTGACAAAACTACAACCACCTTGCTGTATTGCTCGCCAAACTGATCCAGCCACCTCTGAAGCTTTGGTTTCTTCAGTTGTGCTTCTTCAGTCAATTGCACAATCCTGCTCAGGGTTGACTCTTTCCAAGTTTTTGTTGCCTGCATTAACAATTGGATTTAGCACCCAATCACCATCATCATCAACAAGATTTACTAGCACGAGAACTCTAATAGCTAAGGCAACTGTCACCTTCACTATTATCCTGCCATCCAAGTTCCTTGCACCACCAGGTACCCTGTCTCCAACTGTTGTCTCCAATGGTTTAACTTCTCCTGTTAAGTGCTCAATGGTAATGGTGGCATTACCTTGGAAAACTTCACAATCTACAGGCACAGACTAATCACAATACAAGCCCCCATTACTATGCTTCCACATTCTAACGTGTCATTTAATGAGATATAAACGATATGTCATTAGAGTGAGGACAAAACCTACTCGATTCATAAAAGAACAATGAGAGAGCACTAAACTACATGATTAAGGAAATTCAATGGGCAGATTTGTTGCCGAAAACAGTTTCAAGATGCTGGAAAATCACTGCACTACTGATACTTGTAAACATCATCCACAAAGTGGGTGTTGATCAGTGACGACACGACACGTATCTCACAGGCAGGCATTTAGGGTCATAGCTTGACTATAAACTACTAACCATATCGAAAAAAAATAAAAAAAGATGGTAAATTTGTTCCCATACCTCGCCAGCTCCGACCAAGATAAACGAACCCACTTGTAGGTCGTGCACAGGAACTTGCTTGTACGCCAAATTAGATGTATTGGGAAGTTCTTCATCATTGATGTCAAGCACAAGGGCGAAATCCGGATAATTTTCTTTCAACTCTTTCACATCGATCATGGAACGACTGGTGAAATACTCCTCAGCTGAAATCAACGCACAACCATTGATCAATACACATTGCCACAAAATTGCCAAAAAAAAAAAGTATCGAACTTGAAATTGAAATGCTTACCGATATGAGCAAGATTGAACATTGCCAACAGTAACCCTCCTTCCAGTGCATTCCCCATGAACACGGAAGCAAAGGCCGCTAAAGCCATTAATACATGAATGTTCACCTTCCCGCCACTAATATCTGTCAGCGCGTCAAGTGCAGCAGAGACCTACGATTAAATTGAATTCAAACTCAATAAATAACTGCACAGTGCAGACCATATTCTAGGGTTTATTAGTCAACTGCACACAAAAAATGTCAGGTCTTGGTTCTCACCCCTACTAGAGGAAAAGCGATGAGTATGAAAGCGTTCTGCATAGGCTTCACGGCGAGCTTGGGCATCAAATAAGGGCAGGCACCGGCTGCGAGAAAGAGAGCGGTGGAGCAGATGCACAACTGCAAGTGCTCCCTGAGGAAATCGGCGAGGTCGGTCCAACGTACTGCCTTGGCGAATCGGACGAACTGTTTCCGAGGTCCCGTGAGCTCATCAGAGCCATCATGATGATGATGATGGTGGTGGTGGTGATGGTCGTGGTGGTGGTGATCGTGATCGCATGCGTCGGCGGTGCATCGGAGAGTGGTGGAATTGCGGAGAGGAGTAAGGGGTTTGAAGCGAAAAAGGGGAGCGCGGATGATGGGTATTGGGAAGGAGGGCGAGTTGAGTCGAGTGGTGGTGGGGTGATGACTCAGAAGAAGAGAGTGGTGGCGGTTGCTGGCTCTGATTGGAATTGGAAAATGTAGGAGGCTTTCCATTTGGGTTTTTGAGAAAGGAGGGAAAAGAGAGGAGAGAGGGTCTCTCTCTCAGAGCTTGGCGTGAGTTGAAGGTGAGAAGTTGGAAGCTGGAAGCATCGTCTCTTTCGTTTGCAGCGGTGGGTCAGTGGCTCTGAGACTCAGACTGGGGGTTAATTGGAGGAGGTGATGACATGGTCTCCACACCATGTGCTCATTTCGGAGGTGGAAGGAACAAATGGGATTTGGGCCGTTGAATTTGTTTGCAGCAAAGTCATAATCTTCAATGGCCTACGGTCCAGTCCTTTTCTCTTTCTTTTTTATTTTTCCTCTTCTTGGATGTAAATTTGCTAATTTGATTCGATTTGGATTTGATTACTAAATTATTTATTATGATTTGTTAAATTTGATTTTACGTTTTCTCGTTGATTGATTAATGGGCGTTTGATAATATTATTCTTAAGTTCATTTGCGCTTATTCATGTTTTTAAAATTTATGGAAATTAGTGACAGAAAAAAATAAAATTATGGAAATTAATGTGATTGATTTGTTTTAAAATAAAAGAAAATGGTTGCAGTAAGTAACTGTTAAGTCCATAGCAATTTAAAACCAAGACTTTTTACAGGGTCTTATTTATCATTCAATTCTGCACAAGGAAAGTTTGATGCAAAGTGAGCTTGAATATATGGATGGATAGGGTTGCGCAGCTGATGAGAAGAATTTTGTATTATTCTTATCTTATATTAACTGTTTGTGTGTGTGTGTGTGTTTTTTGGTGATTTAAAGGTGATGGGAATGCAAATTGGTCTGGCAACAATCAAACCCAAGAACAAAATGGCTATAACATAAAACTTGTGTTGTCACATTCAAATGGTCATCCGATATGGGCAGACAATTCTTTGGTCAAAAATTCCTAAAACTAATAACTGTTCTATTTGTCAGACATGGCTTCTCCTTCTGCGAAAAAAGTTGCAATACCCTTTGCATGCATGCATTCTGCAAGCAGAGGCCGGATGGAAAGTATATAGACTGCCAAAGTATGAGGGACTGAACAACTTTCTCTCAGTGAGTCCTTGTAAAGGTGTAGATACATGACGTGTGTGATGAGGCTATGAAGACACATGACGTGTGTCATGAGGCTGGGCAATCAACATGAGCACCCACAGAGAGATAATATAGTCAAAAGCATTGATTTTGGTCATTAATTCATTAAAAAACTAAGGCTGAGGGTCAGTTGGTCATGGAGCTTGAGATGAGTATAAAACCCCCAAAGAGCAATACACCAGCTTCACCATTCTATTATTTCTTAATTATTACTCTCTTGTTGCCTTGCTCATTTTGTTCATTGCTTACCAATTGATATCTGTAACAAATGGAGGGAAGAAAGGCATTTGGTTGGGCAGCCAGAGACACTTCTGGAATTCTTTCGCCCTATTCATTCAATCTAAGGTCTCTCTCTCTCTCTCTCTCTCTCTCTCTCTCTCTCTGGTGGTGGTAGGTAGGTAATGAACTAGTTTCTAAATGTCCCCATGAACATGCAGGAAAACAGGTTCAGAAGATGTAGTGTTGAAGGTTTTGTACTGTGGAGTGGACCACACAGATCTTCATCAGATGAGGAATGAGATTCACAACACCAATTACCCTTTGGTTCCTGGGTGAGCATATTTTGGCATCATATATAAAGCACACAAATCAGGCTGCTACAATTCATGCATGCAGCATATGACCAAAAGAAGCTTATGTTTAGGGTTTCCTTGTAGATCAATAGTGCTGTTAAACCTGCTATGGCTACTACTTTTACTATCTAACCCTTTGTAGTGCTTGAATTTGAAGGCATGAAGTGGTGGGAGAAGTGGTGGAGTTGGGTTCAGAGGTAAAGAAATTTAGAGTCGGGGACTTGGTGGGAGTTGGGTGTATAGTTGGGTCCTGTGGAGAATGCCTGTCTTGCCAATCCAACATGGAGCAATATTGCCACAACAAAATCTTCACTTTCAATGATACCAACAAAGATGGAAGCCCCACAAGGGGAGGCTTCTCCTCTGCCATGGTTGTTAATCAAAGGTAACCGAAAAAACAATTAAATAAATCTATCCATGTTGCCTTCGTTTTCAGTTACCCTGAAAAAATTAGAGTGAGTGTAGGTTTGTGGTTCGAATACCCAAAAAGCTAGCTCCGGATCAGGCAGCTCCATTGTTGTGCGCTGGGGTGACAGCTTACAGTCCTCTGAAGCAATTCATGGGTTCTAATAAGGTTCTCAACGCAGGGATATTGGGTTTAGGAGGAGTTGGTCATCTGGGTGTGTTAATTGCGAAGGCAATGGGTCACCATGTGACTGTGATAAGCTCTTCTGATAAGAAGAGGGAAGAGGCCTTGGAAATTTTAGGTGCAGATGCTTTTCTGGTGAGCTCCAATGCAGCTGAGATGGAGGGAGCTGCTAATAGCCTTGACTATATTCTTGACACCGTGCCAGCTTTGCACCCGCTGCGATCATACCTTTCGCTGCTCAAGGTTGATGGGAAACTCATAATAGTTGCTGCTGTACCTAAGCCTCTGCAGTTTGATGCAGTTGATATAATTCTAGGTACATCCTCTGCTACCATTTCTGTTACATTTTTCCATTGAACTGAGTGAGGTTAGAAAATAGAAATGAGAATTGAGGTTGATATAGTAATTTAAATTTTGTGTTGTTATACAGGGAAGAGGACCATTACCGGGAGCTTCATCGGCAGCATGGAAGAAACTCGGGAAATATTGGAGTTTTGGGCAGACAAGGGTTTGAAGTCTTTCATAGAGACTGTAACGATGGATTATGTTAACGAGGCATTTGAGAGAATGGAAAGGAATGATGTGAGGTTTAGGTTTGTCCTGGATGTAGCTGGCAGTAACCTGGAATGATCAAAGACAATTCTGTCTACGATAACTCTGTCAATTCAAGAATAAACTTGTGCTTTGATTCTTATTGCCATGGCTGATCGATTGGCCACGGGTAGTGCAATTTTTGCAGTTTGCAGTCGGCGTTGCAGCCGTCTGCCATTCTACAGTTCTATATGCGTTTGTATCTATCCTACCCTTGATTTTTATCAAGACTGGTTGAAGAAGATTAAGTTTTCATGATTGACCAAACAGAGGTTTTTCTATAGATATGATAAGGGTCATAATAAATGTCAATTTTGTGGATGCCTACATTAAATTTCCAACCACAATTTTTGTTTCTTTAACCAGAGTTTTTACAAATGCACATCATAAACACAACTATTGCTTGCCAAGGTTACAAGAATGACTTGTGGTATTCAAGCAAGAAATTCTCTTCACAGAGCAACAAGTCCCAAAAAAAAGAAAAAAGGACAAAAAAAGAATGAATTAATGCTAATGTTACAACAACAAACTGGATGTTCCATGTTTGTGGATTGTCTTGGTGGATGAATCCATAACACGCCAACTAGGTCATGAATCTCTGCACTGCCTTTGCCATCCATCCAAAGATGGCAAGTATGAGAGAGCAGAAGTTAGAGCAGTTTCTGTGGCAATTCAGTCATGTTTCCCCTTGCCTTTCCCTTCAACACTTTTTGAGCCATCATAAGCAGAAAGGAAGAATGTACTCTGATTTTTCTGCAGAAACCTGCATGACCATGAAATATTACTTCTTGTGAAAAAGTGCACCCAGCACAAGTTTACAGTATGCTGCATTGAATTGGAAGAACACAGAAATAAATAAATGACGAAGTGCAAATGTAAATTCTAGTACATCATAACTACTCAAAAGGTAAAACAAGTGTTCCCATCCCAAAAGTAGAGAGAGAGAGAGAGAGAGAGAGAGAGAGAGAGAGAGTTGTGTTGTGTGTGTGTAGCAGATTGCCTTTTCAAGGCTAAAAATGTAGAAAACAAATTATTAATTTGGCATGCAAATCTCATCTAAATACTTAATTGATCCCCTTCAATGTTTCCCATAAAGCACACAGTAACTGCTTTTAAAAGATTTTGATCCTCTAGTAGAATTCACCGTATAAATATACAATCACATATAAAAAATGATTTGCAAATGCACAACTAATTTTTCAGTTCAAAGGAATAGTCAAGAAGAAGCTAAATGTGACGACGGCGATGATGCATAAGTTTTCATCTAACCTTACTGAAACCAAAATTGAGAAAACAGAAATATCTCCAAATAAAGTAAAAGGTTTGAATGCGTACTTGAGAAAATCAAGTAATTTCTGCTGTAAGCGGGTCTGTGTTTCCTCCTCAATGTTGACATAAGCCAATAGCTCTGGTAACTTTACTGCAAACACCAGAAAGTTATCATGATTGCATTCAAATTCTAAAATATGACAACTTTCATTACAAAACATATTTTACTTTGAAAGAAATGATTTGCACAAATCATCTCATGATACGGTAATCAAATCAGAAGAGACTTCATATTCAAACCACGAGATTCAGTGAGTTCTAAATGCAGAGGGGACACATTAAAATCAACAGCTTGGACTAAATTTCTCCCAAAAGTTGTCACCACCACAGAAAATGACTAAATTATGGATGAGAAATTTATTCATTCTACACAGATCGAATAAATACTAGGAGCAGCGTCCTTAAGCATTGCAAGAAGCGATTCCCTTGAAAAACAAAATTCACTTCATATGTAAAACAACTTTCAAGTTAAGGTCCTCTCTTGAGGATAATTGTGTTGGATTTTCAAAGAAAGCAATTATAGAAGTTGCAAGGACTATAAATGCCTAGCTATAGGTATCTTCCCCTTCTTCCTCAAACCTCAACCTTTGCAAGCCCAAGCTTGTCCTGTCCCACCAAAGCAAAGGGGCCTAGGAGACCTAACAGGATAGTAATGCTTCTGAGCCAGCAATGATTAAATTCAATGCAAGAGACATCAAAAGCACACATTTACAAGAATCAACTGGCCAGCCTCAGTTCTTATCAAACATAGCACGTCAAAAATATTACAATGACAACCAGACAAGACAAACAACCATGAGTCCATAACATTTCTAATAACTGACACTTATTGATGATCATACCAAAGAGTCGTAGTAAATGTTCGGCACCATATATTGTTGATGGAGAGACATCACCTACAACTGTTTCTTGATACTGTTTGCGTTCCTTTTTGTATAAGAGCATCACTGGCAATGCTTTGTCAAAGTAACATCGTATTCCTTTCAGGACTTCACCTACTGGATCAGTCACCCTGTATTCAAGAGAGCATAGTCCATGCCAATCATCACCATGTACATTAAAACTCCAAAATTACATCTTACATTATACACACAAGCTGCAAGATTACAGTACCTAAAAAAGAAAAAAATTGAATGGGGCCTACTTATATAGAGTTAATTAAATCATCGGACATCGTATGTCAAAATACATTAATGAATCCATAGGGCAGCATACTTATATATGTCAGAACTAAATAATAGAAACAGCAATTCAAATAACAAGCACAGGAAAGAAAAAGAACAAAAGCTAATACAAGGATAGAAAATCAACTTCTGTGCAATAGGCTTAGCTAAACTTACTTGCCATCCTTCTTTGTCCTGTAGTCAAGGTACTTCTGCAAAATGTCATCTACAGTTGGAGAACGAGGAAGTTTAACAAGCTGCAGAAACAGAATTCTTCAGCAATCAATATAATAATGAAACATTTAAAAGTATCATTGAAAGGCTGGAAGAACCAAATACATTTCTGAAAGTCATTTAACTACGAAACCATCATCCTACATAATTGCCAGACAAAGTTGCTTCTAACAGTTCATTAATTCCCAATCATCAACAAGTTGCTTCCTTAGTGTTGGAGGAATTTGAATCTTGACAAGCTTTTCCAGGGACAGAGTGTCCTTCTAACAATTATAGAACCCACAATTACTCCACCATCAAAGAAAGGTTAATAAGAAAACTTCAAAAGATCTAAAGAGTTCTGGAAGGAAGCATCTATCATTTGTGAGTATTACACATGCAGCTTGGCATATCAAAATTTAGCAGTGATAGCTGCATTTCTGTGTTTCTTCTCTTCATTTTCTTTTTTATTAGAAAGGCTCAAAGGACCAGCACTATAAGCATCTTAAAGCTTCAGAAAAGAAACACTGAGTATCAATTTTATGCGCACAAGCCTATCACACACAGAAAAATGGAAGGAAGGAGTAAAGATGGCAAGTGAGAACAACACATCTGACAGCTATCTAGAAATGGGGAAAAAAAAAGCGAAGTAGTATATTTAATCCTAATAAATGCCACACCTCAGCGCCTAAGTCATTCTTCCGCTTCTTCCCCTTTGTCACTGCAATAAATATAATATTAACTCTTTAAAAGATGCAGGTAATTTCTTTTACAACATATGTTTTTGAAGAAAAAAATATTAAAGATAAAATATCAGAAAGTAAATTGTACCATTGTTCTTGTGGTCTTCTTTCTCTGCTTTTGCATCTACAAAAATTCAACACACAGTAATTAGTATCAACAGAAAACACAACAAAAACAAAAATCATTGATAACAAATAAGGATGTACAAAGGATGATAGGCAGTGAGAAAACTGCTATTGGAGCCTTTGCTGCACTAAAACTAAAGAAAAAAAATGAGCAACACTAACCAGAAGAACTTTTTGGCTTTGTTTGAGCTGAGCGTCCTGATTTTGTATTCTTGTCCACACCTTGTTTTTTGTCAAGAGCTTGCTGCTTCATGATATTATCTTCAGTATTTTTCAACAGGCGATCCCCACCTACCCATTCGTCCCAACTGTTGGCAAGATGTCCAAGCCATAGTAATGATTTCTGTATCCCTTTTTGAAAAGGGCATAATTATTAACGAAAGAAAACATTTCGAGTAAAGATTATACAACTCTAAGGCAGTCTTTTCAGCCAACACAAATGAGATGTGCATTATTTTGAGGGATTATTTTGTAAATTAAAACAGGGTGATGCATGCATGATCTTATGGCTTAGAAAGCTTTAATAAAACATCAGTTTTCAAAAGACACCAGAAAATCGGTTTCATATATCTATTTTCACCACTTATTATCAAATGATTAAAAAAAAAAAAGAAAAAAAAAAGATAACACCCTTCCTACTTTTATTATTATTCTCTTTATTCCGTTCATTGGAATCCCATGCTACACCATAAGAGTTAGTTTTCTTTTATCCATAAACACCCTCAACCTGGTAAAGGAATCCTAGAATTTACGTACAACAATAAAAAGACTTTACTAACTGAACCAGTTAGAACCTTCTATTTCTATTGTTATTTCCATGATCTATAATTGTAGCTCGCTTAGCTTTGGAAGTCACAACTTCATATTTGTGGAGATAAGGGAAGCATTGCGGAGGAATGTTTTAAATATAAGTTTTATTTTTCTTGAATGAAACTAGATCCAAAATACAGCACAGTACCACTAGAACTTGGGAAACATTGGAGGTAGCTCTGAGTTGCATTCTTTACCTGATTCGCTTCACATTCTATGGAAAATTTAATAATGTAGATAGAAATAGAATAGAAGTTATAGAAGGCATACTCACTTTTTATTCCAACCCTGCAAAACACCAAACCGTACAAAAGTTAATATCATAACCAGAAACTACTTTGCTTACCTACATGTTGTCACCTTAATATGCGTTATTATTCAAGAATGTGTATGGGGAGAGGTGTTATTCAACTTACGAGGTAGTGCACAAAGTATCTCCATTCATTTTTCCTCAGCTCTGCCTTTTGAACCTGAAATGTGAAAAGTTAAAGTTGTTTAGATTATAACTACAGAAACACAAAAAGAGTAAAGAATTCAAGGAATATAGCTGAATTTGGAGCAGGTTTAGTATTGGTAATTCACTTTTGCGAAAGGTTAAAGCTGGTTCCCTGTATATATACATACTACACAGATGGCCCACTGCATCTTTCAGAACGAAATCACCAACTATGCTGGTTATGCCATAGTGCTAGAGAGAGCTGGACTAATAAAAGGTTAAAATTATCTAAAAGGATATGTGAATTATGCCCTTCTGGTGAAAAGGTAAAATCATAATTACTACCTGAGCTAGATTGGAGTTATATATAGTTTTTTAATTTTATAGTTTTTGAGGAAGTAGACTGAAGCGTGCAATATGTGCAAGAGTAGTAAATTGGTCCAAATGAATAATTCAACATGAAGAGAACCTGCAATTGATGCAAATAAAGGAAAACTCCTGCATCAATTTCTTTAGAACAAGATTTAAACCATTTCTTTGTGAACTATTTCTTAATTGCAGGTTGGAATTCCAAATCAATATTGAACAAACTAATCAAAATCAACAACTGCCTTGGAAAATAAATAGCTATCTAGACCTTTATTTCTTTTCTTTTCTTTTCTTTTTCTTTCCTTTTTTGGGTAGAAAAGAAATACCTACAAGGAGCCAATTGCACACAAAGACTAAGGATTACAACCCCAAAACCCTAGACACAAATTCAAAACCATTCCATCGAAGCTTAACAAAATTCAAGAAGTAAAACAAAACAAGAAATAGAGAATTCGGAAAACTAGGGCATAGAGATTAAAGAAATGGAGGTCAGGGACTTGCCTTGGCTTCGTAGATGCGAGGGCCATGGTAGGCAAGGATCTTCTCACCCTCCGAGTAGAGGCTGGAATTGGAGGGAGGAGCGTCGCCGCTAGAGGTGTCGCCGTCGGTGGGCGAGTCATCCCTGGACGAGTTCGCCATTTTCGCGGAGTAACAGCTCCAGCAGCTCCTTCAGTTTGAGAACTCGAGAGGAGAGCACAGAAAGCGCGGTCACTCTGTTGAGCTTGAGAGTGACCCGTCGCGCAGAGTGGGTGTTTAAATTAAAGTACAAGATGGGATGGGATCTGATTTGTCACTCTAATAAAAATCCCCCCTCCTCCATTTTTTTTGGTTTATTTTTTTAAATGTTATTATTGTTTTTTTTTTTTGCGCCAAACAAGGTTATTATTGTTTCAGTACACTACAATAAATAAGTTTTTTTTTTCAAAAAATATAAACCAGCTTTTTCATAATAAAAAAAATTAAAAAATTAAAAAATTAAAAAATTAAAAAATTAAAAATTAAAAATTAAAAAATTAATAATGTCATTCTCAATACACTACACAAATGTTAAGACTCGAACCCATGACATTTTCTGGAAGAGCAATTGTTCCAAACCACTACAATAGTGGATCCTTTACAAGTTCTTTTTATATTTTTAATCAATAGATGAGAGGAAATTCAACTTAGGACCTCGTGGTTAGTGAGTTACAATTTGTTGCATGAGTGTACATCTCATGGAATGACAATTTGCCTATGAGGATCTAGTACAACATATTAAGACATAAAATCTTTAAAACGAGGAGGAAAACAAAACCAATTAAGAAAAATAAAAGAAAATTAATAGATCTTACAGATTTTTAACTACAAAGAGTCTGTTTTTGTGGAAAGATAATTGCGTGTTACTATCATACTATCACGTGGTGTTATTAATCCATGTGTTATATGGATAAACAACGTGAATGATATGCCATGAATACAAGGTATAACATTACTAAATAAATACACATGTTATAATATGAGTGTATTAGTAATACGAGGGTGTGACCATAAGAATAAGAAAATGAAAAACATGGCAGATGACTCGACCCTAGGATCCCCCAATACCGAGAAAACTGACTAACCTCGAACTTACGATGAAATTTGTTGACTTTAAAAGAAATTCACCAAACTTTTGCTAATGACGTAAACATTGTATTGCTGGTGCATATATCAGCAACATCCGTCAGAAAATACATCCATAATCAGTGCAAGATGAGTTAAAAATCACTCAGCAAATTTACTTGTTCAAATACAATTCCACAATATACAATTCATTTCTTAGATGATTCATCAATGAGTTGCTTAACAAATTCCAATTTCTCTTCATTATCTAAGGTAAGGAAGAGTTCAGCATAAAAAGGATTAGCCACAAGCAGTCTTAATGCTTTAACTCGATCCGTAACAGAAAGCCCCATAGGTTTAACCTCACGGTACAGCTCACCTGCTTCGTTACCTTTGGGTTGCAGTGATTCACGTAGGACTCGCGTTTGCTCATTTGAAGCTTTTATCATTTCCACGAATGATGCAGGAACTTCGTCTAACGCAACACTTAAACCTCCACGTTGTCTTCGATTTCGTGGCGAGGAATAAGACTGATCTGTTTGTTTGTTTGTTGAGATTTGGTCAACAGGCCTTGAATAAGCGTCTTCCTCTGTTCCAACGTCAGTTGATTCCTCATCACAGTTAATCTCCCCTTCACAGTTAATATCGTCATCACAGTTAATCTCCTCATCATAGTTCATCACCTCAACTCTTTCAACCGGAGTTTGGTATGGTTTTACAGTAGCATGGCCAACTCCAAATATATCAACAAGTCTATCATAAAGTGGAAAATATTTGTCCCTCCATCCATCTGCCTCTTTGTGATCCTGCAGGTTCAGTAAACAAACGTTAGTATAATTTATGCTACAAATATGAGATTACAAGTAACACATATGTATAAGTTGACACTTCATTGAACAACAAAAAATCAAAAGTAACATATATTAGGCTTATTAGCCTAGGATAGAGTTAATACTATCATACCTGCACATAAGATTTCCATGATTCTTCACTGTCAACCTCCAAACATTTCTTCAAATCATTCCACCCAAACCCACTTCTGTTGATCATGTCATATATTAGACGGTATTGCTTCTTCAATTTTTTCATTTTTGACTCAACGTGTGGGTTAGCTTTCAGTTCTGATGCTGGACATAAATTGCATAAAGCTTTTTCTATTAGAGTCAATGTACCAGATTTGAAAGTACCATTTTCACGATAACCCTTTGCAACTAGATCCTCTAGGATCCCTAAAAGTGCATCCTCCTCCTCTTTGGTCCATACACGTCTGCTGCCTTTTCTATTTGTCTCATGGATTTCACTACTACCTCCAGAATCATCTTGCCTTCTCCTCTTTCCTTGTGAGGAATGCAATTGATCCGTTTGCTTGGTGGTTGAGTTTTGGTCAACTGATCTTGGACAAGTGTCTTCCTCTATCCCAAATTCAGTTGCATTAACCTCATCAAAGTTGATCACTTCAATTTTCTCAGCTGGAGTTTGGGATGTTTTTACATTTGCGTGGTCCACCTTAAATATTATACCAAGTCTATCATAGAGTGGAAAATGTTTGCCCCTCCACCCATATGCTTCCTTGTGATGCTACAAGTTCAATCAACAAACGTTAGTGCTTATGGTACAAATATAATATCACAGGTAAAACATACGTTATAAACTGACACTTCATTTATCAACAATTCAAAAAGGATCATACTATGGAGTCAATATTATCATACCTGAAGATATGCTTTCCATGTCTCTTCACTGTCAACCTTCACACATTTCCTCACATCATTCCACCCAAACCCGGTTTTGTTGACCATGTCATATACTATACTGAATTGCTTCTTCAACTTTTTAATTTTTGACTCGATGTGTGGGTTAGCTTTCAGTCCTGATCCTGGACACAAAACTCGCAAGGAATTTTCTATTACAATCAATGTACCAGCTCTGAAAGTACGATTAGCACGATGGCCGCTTGCAACCAGCTCCTCTAGGATGTCTAAAAGTGCATCCTCCTCCTCTTTGGTCCATACACGTCTACTCCCTTTTCTATTACTCTCATTGACTTGACTACTACTTCCAGTATCCATTCCTAAAAGGTCCTGGTGAAAAATATCCAACCATTTAAACCAAAACGATCACTAATAATAATACAAAACTGTATCATTTCATATTCATTTAGAATTTGAATGCTGCATTCTTTAGTTTAAGCACAAGGCCTCAAACATTATTCTTATTTCTTGGTCTAACTGCTAAAGAATGCTAGCAAAATTTGAGAAAGGAATAGGCAGAGAAAGTGAAATAATTAGGTCCGTTTTAATTTTTTTTCCAATTTGATGACATAGAATCCTAATCCATTAGTTTCCTTTGTATTTTATTTTGTATATGTCCCAGGTAGAGGTTCCATATAAAGAAAAAGAAAAAGATTATTGACGTGCACCAAAGTCAACTGAGAAAACATACATAAATATGGTAAAATGCCAAAACACAATTAAATTTTCAAATACACATATTTTTATTTAACTACCCCTATTTGCCATCCAACTCAAAAAGCATTTGGTCTACTCCTCAAAGGAGTCAATTGATCAGAGGATTCAACAATCAGTATTGTATTGAAACACTACAATGTATCTCTGAAAGGTTGGAGGTACTTCGATCACGGGATACATGTGAAGAACCAAATAGATTCTTGAAAGACATATTTAAGTTAACCGTGAAACCATCATTCTTTATAATTGTTAAATGACAACCAAGAGAAGTTGCTTCTAACATTTCATATGTACCTTATCCTGCTGACAAACAAATTGCGGATCATCAACAGCTTGCTTCCTTAGTATTGAGGGAATTTGACTCATGACAAGATTTTCCAAGGAGACAGTGTCCTAACAATTATAGAACCCAGAAAAAGCCCATCAAAGAAATGGCAGTAAGAGAAAACATAAATAAGACCTGAGGGGAATATTAAACAGTTCTCAAAGGAAGCATTTTTCATCTGTGAGTAGAAGAAACATATGCAGTTTTGCATAGACAGAGAATAATTGAATGTAGAAAATAACATGATCATGTGTATAAATCCAGATATTGGAAATAGAAAAAAAGAGTTGTGAAAGGTTATAGTTGTTTTACATGAAAATTATAGCAGAAAAAAGAGAGAGTATAGTCAGCTACTTGAGACGAAGCATAATTTAATCTCAACATACAGAAAAACAGGAATTGATGCAAAGAAAAAACATTCGTATCAAATTTCCAGCATAAGGTTTAAAGCATTTCTAGATGAACAAAATTTCATGATTGCAATAGGCATTGGACAAACTAATCGATCAATCTTGATAATACTACAGCTCTAGCAAACTTTAATAAAATTGCAGAGCTAAATAAATAAATAAGAATTCGGAAAAGTGGGGCAGTTAGATTAAAGAAGATGGAGGTTGGGGAAGAGAAAGGAAAGTGGCTTGCCTTGGCGTCGTACGCAAGGATCATCTCTCCCTCCGAGTAGACGCTGGAATTTAACGGCGGCACGTCGCCAGTGGTGGCGGAGTCGTCCGTCGACGAGTTCCCCATTTTTGCAGACGCAACAGTCAACCGCGGGAGAATAAAAATGCTGATCCGACTATATTTTTTTAACTTTTCCGGTTTTAGGAGACGATTTTCACGTCAATATTTTATCCATTTGTTATTTTTCCTCTTACCTCGTGCTTTTACAATTGAAATAACAAAAGAAAAATTAAATTATAAAACACAGAGAGTGCGCACGTGTGAGTTAGGTCAGCTGACCTCGTGTATATCTCTTTCCACATCAGTTTGAATTTGATTCTCTTGTTACATAAAGTAGAATACTTTACATTATTTTTTGTATAAAAAATATAAAGAAGATTACTAAAAATTCAAATGAAAGTTTGTTTATCACTACCTCTTTTGGTTAGTCTCAATTAGATGTCTTAATAATTCAATTTACATGATTTTTTGTAAAGATGATATCTGAATGAAGATGTAAAAAATAGATAGTTTGGATCGTGGAAAAAAGTTTCGTAGAGGATTCTAATGAGTGTCCCTCAAATAAAATTATTTGAAGAATCCCTCAATAAAAGGAGATTATATATATACTGAAAAAAAAATATTATATTTGAATAAAGGCTCTATTAAATACAATCTATTCATTAGGGTTGCCATTCATAACTTGGGTCTCTCCATTTAGTATAAAAAGTAGAAACGGGACGGGTA